TGAGTGTCACATTCCTTTAGCTGAAGTGGTTGGTCCAGTGACAGTCATGTGATCTAAGCAAGTCATCAAATCTAAGAACTTTTTGGGGTGGAGCAAGAAAAAGGTCAGCTTTCCTTCTGAATAGAACCCAAGATGGGAAGGCAGGCTTGGGGCTGCCTATCTTGCCAATACAGATGGGACTGAGGGCCAAAACTAAGTTAATGGAAGCAAGACCTAAGAGAGGAAGAGTCCAAGTCCTAAGGCCAGTGAACCTGAATAGAAATGTTTGTGAGGCCATTCTTCCTCTCTGACCATGAAGTTAAATGAGCCATTAAATTTCCTTTTTTTTTTTTCCTTAAAACTATGTGAGGTTTACTTTGTCTCTCACAACAGAGAGAATCCTAACAAATGCAATGTCTGTAGCACTTATTTTGCACAGATTATCTTGTACATTTTGCCCTGGGTTATGTTTTAAACTGTGACTAAGTCAATGTCTAGATCATGGTAGATTCTCAGCCAGTGTTCATATGCCTCTAAACTTCTACATTATTTATCGTTATTATTCATATTATTTAGTATTTTCTTTTTATATCTGGATATCTTGTCTCTCTAACTAATTATATTTGTTTATTCATTCATTTTTTATTCATGCATTTATCAGTTATTTATTGTATTTAATCTGTGTGAGGCACCATGGATCTAACACCAAGTAAAAGCAAAAATATCCCTGTGATCATGGAACTTACAGTCCAATAGAAGAGTTAGAAATTAATGAAATTATCACCTAATAAGTATAAAATTGCTAAAATGATAGTCACCACATATGGGTTTTCCCCTCATTGGGAGGTCAGGTAGGGCTTTCCTGGGCAAGTGACACTGACTGGTGTGGGAACCTGAAAAATGGGAGGAGCCAACTAAGTTAGAAGGGTAGAGTGGAAAGGACACTCTAGTCAGAAGGAACAGCGTGTGCCAAGCAAGGCCCATGGTGGGCAGCATAACCTAGTACATTTTATGAACTAAAAAGGGGCTAGTAGAGCAAAGGAGAGAATATGAGAGGTTCCGGTTTTTTGTTTTTAATGTTAAGAGCAGTGGTAAGGCATGGAGAGAGAGAGTGTATGCTCTCATGTGTGTGCATGTGTATGTGAAAGAGAGAGAGAGAGGGAAAGAGAGGTGGACCTGTGTGGAAGGTGACATGATTACATATGAATTCAGAAAATGTGACTCTGCTTGCCCTGTAGGGACTGGATTGGCTGAGGGGAGAGCAGGCCGTGGAAGCTGGAGAAAGAGATAAGTAGACAGATTAGAAGAACAGCAGGGAGATAAAAGCAACAGGATTTGGTGTTGTACTGTAATACAAAGTTACACTCTGACCTTCCCCTTAAAGAACAATCAAGGGATCTGGAAAAACTTTTAAATTCTGAATACAATCTGATAGATATTCTATTAATTCTCCAAACAAGAGATTATGGTTTGGAAGCACTGGAGAGTTCTAGAAAGACTGTATGAAGGAGTAGACATTTGATCTGCAGTCTGGAGGACAAGCAGGATTTCTGTTTCAATTTTCAGTGGAATTTTAGGCAGGACAGCATCTACATAAGACCAGTGCGAAAGTATATTTTATTTATTTGTTTGTTGATTCATTTTTTCATTCATTTATGAATGAAGACATTTTTTGGTCCCTCTATATGCCAGGCATTGTCCAAAGAAACAGCCATCACATTCTAAGTAATATGTCTGGTAATGATAATACTTGGAAAATGCCAAATTTTCCTATTTGGTGAAAGTGTGGGATACAGCACATATGGTGGGAAATAAAGGGTTTATTTCTCTGTGAGGGAGTTAGGACTGAAATCTGTAGCAATAAGGGTTCCTCCCAGTTTTCTTCTGCAAGTGAGTCTGAGCCATGCAGGTCTGGCAGCAGAGCGGTGGGGAGATCGAAGCTGGGACAGGTATGGCAGCCTCATGCAGTAGGCTATGTAAGTTGATAAGACTTTGGATCTAACAGCAGCAGGAGTGAGAGAGGGGCTACATTCTGGGGATATTTTTGTAGGGGAGTCAATAAGACTAGAGGAGCACCTGGATATAAGGAACAGAGAAGGCCTAAGTCAAGGAAAACTTTGAATTTTCTTGCTTGGGAGTCTGGGAAGATGGTGATGTTATTCACTGGGCAGTGTGGGAAGATGAGAAATTTAAGGACGAAGCTAATGAGCTAGTGTGCACATACTGAATTTGAAGCACTTGCAGTTTACGTAGGTGTAGATGTTTCCGAGGCTCTCCACTTCAAAACAAGAGTTATGGCCTCAGAAGAGAGGTAGCAGTTGAGGAAAGTTTAGCAGCCATGAGAGTATGACATTGTTTGATGAGTAATGATTGAGGGGCATGGCTGTAAAATGGCCAAAAAATGAAGCCCTGGAGTATTTGAACTTTTGAGGAACAAGAAAGATGGGAGAGGTGGTTTTGGAGTAGTCTGGGATGGGAAGAGGACAGGCAGAATGTGTGATGTCAGTGACATTAAAAGGGAAAAGAATTGAGCGTGGGCTGCGAACCAAAGTGTCGCAAGTTCAATTCCCAGTCAGGGTACATGCCTGGGTGGCAGGCCACGGCCCCCGGCAACCACACATTGATGTTTCTCTCTCTCTTTCTCCCTCCCTTCCCTCTTTAAAAATAAATAAATAAAATATTTTTTTAAAAAAGGGAAAAGAGCATTAAGAATGGCATGAACAGTCAGTAAAATCTCAAGCTGCATATAAGTTAAGTACTAAGAAGACAAAGTAGAAGTCATTAGGTCTGGCAGTTATGGTATTGTTGGGAAATTTAATAGAATAATGGTGTTAGACAATCAGTGGACACAAAGCAAGTGGGCAGCCTGGAGAGTGACTGAAAGAAAAGGAGAGGGAGGCAGTAACCACAGGCTTCTTTTCCAAAAGAGTGGTAGTGACGGGAGGAGAGAGGAAGGTGGTGGGGAAGGAAGGCGGAATTTACATAGAAAGCTCACCCCCTTCTTTTTCAGTAGGATAGGAAACCTTGGCCACAAGTCAAAAATGAATGAAAGGAACTTTATGATTTGTGGAAAGGTAAATATTGGAGAGGAAGCCAATATTTATGAAGTTCAGGAAACTGGCTGAAAAGTGAAGGAAGCACAAAAATGCTGGGGACAGACCTGTCAAGGAGATGAGAACTCACACGGAAGGTGAGACGATGGGTGGAGGTGAGCCTGAAGGCTGAAGGGTCCAAACGGCCCGTGCAGAGTTCCATTCGGGGCCAGGGCCCTCTATCAGGGAATGTTTTTGAAGCCTTAGTACATAAAAGGTGTTGGAAAAAATAAGGTCACTTTCATTTTATTTTTGGTGTCTCCCTATGTCAGTACAGGCTGATTAATAAAGACATGAGGTCGAGATGGACAAGCTGTGTCTGAGGAAGTTGAGGAGCTTCTGAGCCAGCTGCCCTCTCTGAGATTACTGCCATGTCAGGTCCACCTAACCATTTAGATCAGCACAGAAAGGTCTTGTCTGATGCTGAACACCCAATTAGGGGTCAGTCATGGTGCTGGATTGAATTAGATTAAAGTGGGTTATTTGTGATGTCTGATATTTCTGCTTTCAGAATAATTTTGGTGCAATTATAGGGCCGTTTGGGGGATTAGGCATATCTATAGTCATCTGGTCTGTGTTAATTCCAGGCAGGGCAGTAGCCAGTCTATCAGGAACACACCTTCAGCCAAAACATCTCCAAGTCCATTGCTTTCCTGTTCACCTTGGTGAGCTCTGCCCAGATGAGTGCCCCCATCTCCCAGTTCCTGGGAGTGTTGAATGTCTCCAAGAAGCTAAACCTTGCAGACTGCAGGTCTTAAACTAGGCTCTTATCTAACTGCAGGATGTTTGCGCTTAGAAATCAGAGATCACATAAACCATCTCCCCCTTTTAAAACTTCCCCTTTAATATGCACCTGAGGAAATCAAGGCCCTGGAGGATACGGTGATTTAACTGAGGTTACAAAGTAAATTTATGTTAAAATTTATGTTGAAACTAAGGCTTCTAACCACCCTCCTTTAAGCAGGTGGTTTAACAGTAATTACCTGCTTTGTGTTTCTTTCACTAATGGGTTTTTTTCTCACTTTCTTGGACTTCAGTAAATATTCTTCTTTTAAAGGGCAGGGAATGAAGAAGTTTCATCCCTTAGGGGATGAAAGAACCAAGAAGAAAGATTAAATAGCTTCAAGAAGGGGGAAACACACGTAACCTGGGGGGTTGCTTTCATTCCCTTCTGTGCGATCCGTCTGTCTGTTGCTGTGTTTATTGGTGTTGAAGTCCTGACTTCTGGCTGCCAGTGTGGTGAGGAACACTCTTTCCTGACCGGAAAGGCCTGGGCAAGGGAATCAAGAGACTTTAAAAGGAGCGTGGGTTACCTTAAATATGGGAGAGTTTGTTCTGCTTTTTATTGCTGTTTCCCAGTTTGAGAAAATCCTATCTAGGAAAAATCCCTATAGGAAACTAGCCCAGTAAGAAGTCAATGTGTGCATTAAGAGAGGAATTTTCTTTTTTTTCAAAGGAAATCTCCTTCAGTGCTGTAAAATTTTCCAGATACTTTTCAATGTTTGTGTATCAGTCACCACTTGCCAGCATGGCTTGGGAATAGGAAGTCTAGAGAGGCTCTAAAGCACAAATGTTAGGCCCTGCTGTCAACTCAAAATTAGTCAGAAATGATAGAAAGGTTCCCTGAAAGAGGATGGATGTGAGCAGAGAAAACAGGCTTTTGTTTGTAAAAAATCCACTCGTAAGTCCTTTGGGAGCAACACCTTATAAAAGGGAAAAGTGAGGATTCTTGGATTGCTTCTGCTTATTTCAGTGCTACACTCTGGAAGTTTCCACATGCTGTTTAGGAACTATCATATGGAAATAAATTGGGAGGAAGTATGACGAGTTTTCTGGCTTCTGAGCACAGGGCAGCACACTCGGTGTGGTCTGAGGCTGCCGCCCGTAGCCCCACGGAGGCGATCACACACAGCACTGTCAGGTACGTACATTTTCTCCAGGTCCCCAAATCCCGGCAATGCTCCTTTTGGGATGACTTGAAGGTTGGTGAGGACAAGCCGCCTGAAAAGAGAGTGGACATAAAATATCACAACTTATCCACTCATTGATAAGTAATTGAGTGCCTAATGAATTAGTTCAGCTAACAGCAAACATATACTAAGTGCTTGCCATTTATTTAGTAGTCACAATTGCTTTTACATGATTTCTCTTCATCTTCACCACAGAGCAGCCATATTGGCACTATTGTTATCCTCATTTTGCATGAAAAGAAACTGAGGTTTAGGGAAGTTAAAAACATTACCCAGGGTCACACAGCTCATGGCAGAGCTTGGATATGAATCTTCTTTGTCACCACTACTTCTTATTGCTTTCCATAGCCCTGTGTGATGCCTTTTCTCCCTCTCTCCTCCTGCCCCCAGTACCTCTTCCCTAATTGTCATTCATAGCTGACCTTTCAAAGAGACAATGAACCCAACCCAGAGAGAGCTTCCTTATGCTCCCAGCCATCCATCCATCAGTACCTATGCTTGCATACCCCAGTTTTCCTCCTGTTACGCTGGTGATCAGAACCCTGGACCTGACTAAGCACAGCTCCTCCCATCCACATCAGATCTTTCCCCCTCTTTCTAGTCAGGGTGGCCACTACAGCCTTCCCCCCTTTCTTTCATAAGTTTTGTTCACCTAGTTTTACTTTACTGGATCCTGTATGCCAGTATACAAAAATGCCACAATTTCTCCCATGTAAAAAAAAAAAAGTCTTCTCTTAACCTCAGCTGCCTTCAGAGTTTGCTATTTTCTTCTGCTTGAAATATGTGCATCACACCTATCTCAAAATTTCTTCCAGAGGCTTCTCAACTCAGGAAAAACCCAAATTTTATACAGTGGTCAATGTGACCCTTTGTGATCTTCGTGCTCTCCCTTTCCACAGATGCTTTAGCTTCAATTTTGGTAACTCTCCTCTTTGCTCAGCTTGTTCTTATCACAGTACTCATTTGCCAGTTCTTGGACATGGCATGTTCTTTCTTCCCTAATGTTTGTGCATTTGCAATTCTTTTTACCTGGAGTGTTCTTATGGACATCCTCCTGGCTTGCTCCTTCAGCCTGCTATTTGCCCAAATGTCACTTTCTCAATGATGCTTTCCCTAATCACTCTACTGAAAATGACAATCTCCCCAACTGGGGCCCTGGCCCCCTTTCCTGCTTAAATTTTTCTTCATAGCACTTCTGACATGTCATACGCTCTATTTATTTATCTATTTATGCATTTGTGTATTTATCTCTCACCTGTAACTATTTAGAATATAAGCTCTGAGAAGGTAGGCATTACTGCCTGATTTGTCTGCTGCTATATACCAAATGCCTATGACAGCACCTGGTACGTGACTAGTATTCAAAAAACATTTCTGGAATGACCAAATAAATGGCTGTTGAACAGTCTGAGAGTTCTAGGCTTGAGGGTAGTAGAGTTCTAAGTGACCCTTTAGGCATCTGTACAATAGGATACTATTCCTTTCCCTGGCTTTCCTCTCACTGGCTTTCTCTGGATTTGTAAATGACTCATAAGAATTTGGGTTTCTTTCCACCTGAATCCTTCCTTCTGCAAAGCAGTCTGTGAGCAGGAATTAAATAATGAAATATGGTGGCTTGGATTGTTTCGCATACCTTCATTGCTTCAGTCTCCTATCATTTATCGGTGTTAGTGAAATTCCTGTTTCAGATAAAGTTGTTATTCAAGCAAACTTTTCTTTTACTTTGTTTTTATTTACTTTGTTAATTTGACTGCTATGAGCACCAGCTCTGTGGTGAGATGTCATGAGAGAGAATCCTGTGTGCTGTTCTTGCAAAGGGGTTTACATGTTGGGAAGGCAAACCCAGAAACGTTGGAATCACTGGCAAACAGTTGTGTGACACAGTTGATGTAATAACTATAAATGTTACAAAAGGATTGAAATGAGAAACACCCCAAGGTTCATAAACATATAAAAGGAAGATTGGAAGGAGTGGGTGAATTTGAGCCTGGGTCTCAAAACTATCAGGTCCTACTAAAAGCATAGTCTCTATGCAAACCATTTTAAATGAAAAGTTTAAAATTTAAAGTTTAAACAGCTTCAAATTTTAAATGAAAAGTGACCTAGTTTTCAATTTGGCATAACAGATTTGGAAGAGTGTCAACTTCTAGAATGCCCATCTGCAGAGAATCAAGATGAGTTCATATTTTCTTAACTGTGCTGATATAACTGTAGTTAACACAGATGAATTTCTTTTGTGCTTATCATGTGACAGAAAAATGATGAAAACAATATAGTAAAATCACGTTATAACATTGCTTTTTAGACTACTCAGTCTAACAATTTAAGGGAGTTGAAATATTAAAGTAAAATAATGAGATGTACAAAGAGCAGAGTCTTAGATAATTGACTCTTTTATTGAAAACAGGTCAACTAGGTGGCCCTTTTTACCTCAACCCTAGTAGCAGCCATATTTTAAAAATTTTCATTGCCTGTAGCTTTATTAAGTGCTTAAAATTGAATGTAATCAAATCTATTTGGAAGATGGAACATCTTGATTTCCATCTACTTCCTGAAATGCTATAAACTAGATAACCTGAAGATATTGCCACTAAGAATGACCTAGAAATTATATGTAACATATAACAAGTATTGCTTTAAATGTACACACGAGCTTGCAAGAATGAGAAATCCCCAGGGGTCCAAAGTAAATCCACTGGATACCAGATGGAACCCTGACCAGCCAATGCAAACCTGATACTCGGAGGGTAAACTGAAGCCCAAGTGTAGGGGAGGCAGTTTTTGTGGACTTTGTAGCTGGGGGGGTTGTGTTTTCATGGCAAACTGGTACATGAGATGAAACATGGAAGATGGAATGAAAAGATCTATTTCTTTCATTTGCCTGTGCTCTCTCCCTCCCTGTCCCCTCAACAACCCCTGCCTCTCTCCCTGGCACAGAAAATGGATGACAGGCAGTTTTCAGTAAAATGTAATCTGGAAATTTTCCATAATTTATAAAAGGCATAAGTTCTCAGAATCAGAAATCTCAACAATGCCCAGGATAGGGACAGAAATAAATCCACTGCCAGATATCTGTTAGTTAAAACTGTAGAGCCATAAAAAAGCACTGTAAATGCAAACAGAGAGAAAAAGATATTATCTTCAAATAAAAAGAGGATTAGAAAAACTTGTAAAATACCTTCAAAATTATTAGAGAAAAATAATTGTCAACTTAGAATGATTATTTTCAAATATGAAAGTAAAGGCACATTTAGACAAGTTTTATTGGCCACTAACAGCAAAGTTTTAGCAAAAGAATTCCTTTGTAGAAGAAGAAAATTTAATTCAGTGGGAAAGAACAAAAAGCAAGAAGGAACAGTGAACAAAGAAACTAGTGCTTCCTATCGAGTAGGTGGGTTTTCATAATCGCTGGAAACCTTACCTATTTAATAAGAAGTACTAAAATGATATTGACCAAGAACGAGGTCACAAAGCAAGTTGGCATCAAACAAATCATTTTCTTTGACAATGACGCAATTAAATTACTTTGAAATCAGCAATAAAAGATAGTTAACCCCACCCTCACCCCCACCCCAACAAATGTGCAACCAACTGAAAAGCCTAAACCAAACCAAACCAAAAACAAACTTCCTTTTAAATGATAGGGTCACAGAAGAAATTACAATACTAACTAGCAATTATTTGTAATTGAATTATAATTAAAATATAATAAATAAAACTTATGGGATATAGCTAAACTGTTCTGTATGGAGAAATTTGCAGCCTTAAATGATTATACCATAAAAATAAAAAAGATGGAAAATTAATGCTCTAAGCTTTCAGTATAGGAAACTAGTGAATGAACAACAGGGTCCTGGGAACAAACTATAAAGCCAACATTTCTTGATTCCGTTTGTGGCTGGAACTTCAGGTGCAAACTCAAAAGCAGTTTCATAAGAAATATTGATAAATGAGGAACTGTTGATAGAATGTTTTGAGAGGATAAATAGCTAAACTTGACAACTTGATACATAAAACTTAAGTTCAATCTGTACTAATGTGGTATTTCATAATTATAAGGTTAAGTTTCTACATAAATTTATTGCTAAGATGGTTAAAGAAGCTTTCTTGTAATATTGAAAATATTATTACAATAGTTACAAGAACTCTTGATTTATGAATTTAACACTAAAATGATTATTATAGAAAAGTAACATTATTTGAATGTTTATTGAAGAACACTGTTTAACCAGAAACTTTCTGATAATTAATTCATTACATCCTTATTGTTTAGCTCCAGTTAATATAAAATATGCACACACATTTTCTTTCAATAGGTAACATTGGTAAAAGCAAAAGGAAAAGGAACTTTATTTGTAGTGAATCTTCATTTTAAAGTAAAGTAATGAGTGTAACAGATCAACTTAAAGCACATTGCAAAATTTAAGTATGCCTCGAGAGAAGAAGCCTAAAGAAAGTGGAGAGAAAAAATAATAAAGAGTAGAAATCAATTAAAAATAATACAAAGGACCAACAAAATCAAAAGTTAAGTCTTTGGAAATATTAATAGGAGAAAATAATCTGTCCATTTTAAGCAATAAAACAATGAGATACATGAAAGGTAGCATTTCACAGGTATAATAGGTTTTAAATGAGAGGAACTTAAGAATAATTTATAACATTAGATTTGCAAAATCAGAATATGGATAATTTTCCTAGAAATACATTTTTAACCAAAACTGACTTAGGAAAATATAGAAAAATTGAATATCTATAAACATTAACTAATTGGGTTGGTAGTTTGAGAGATACCCATCATAAAACAAAGTCAGCATTTTATGATTTAAAAAGTAAGTTCTACCTCTTTAAAGTAGTAGACAATCTCCATCTTATACAAACTATCCCAGAGACCAGCGGAAGAGAACAACACTCTCCGACTCATTTTATGTGGCTGGTGTAACATCAGTAACAAAACCAGATGGGGCCAATAAAAGAATGGAACAATTTAGGCCAATCTCACTTACTGATTTTTATAAAGTTATACTGATTGAC